GGGTACAGGCTGCTCCTCTGAGCGCCCCCCTGCCCCCAGCACTGGACCGAGCTGGTCCTGGAGACCTGCGCCCCTTGGGTGCCACATCCGTGCGAGGGTCGGGGCGCATTTATCCTCCAGTACGTTTATTAAATCGCATCTGGAGATGGATGGACGTGGATCCAGGAGAGGAAATCACAGGGCTCAGTTGAGCAATCTTCCTGGCTTTAAATTCCGAATAAAAGTCTCGAATATTCCCGGGTCAGGGGGGCACCGTCTCATTAAAACCACTCTCGTCCTGAAACTGCAATGCAGACATTAAAGTGCAGTATTTTTCAATTAGAGCTGACGAATTCAATCAAAATTCCATAGATTAGGATGAAATGAGGCATGGGTCATTTACAGGGGGATTTAATTGCCGAGCCATTAGACAAATAGTATATTTGCCATTCCCGCGTTATCCATCATGTTCGACGTCAATACCGGGGCCGCATCCCCCCGTCCCGCGGCCGCCCGGCGTCGGCTGCAAACGCTCCCTTCCCTGTATCTTCTGATTCCATCTGATTTCACCGAGGGCCACGGGGGATGATAAATGTTCACGCAATCAAGTTCATTAGGGCTCCAAATCGCATTTCTGATTGGGATCGCTCTGCGCCGTCCTCGGAGCGCCTTCCCACCCCCAGCGGGAGGCTTTGGAGACATCACTTTGCATGGAAAGCTGACGTCCTTTTGTCCTCCCCTCCCCCTCCCGCACCCACCCGCGNCTGTGGGCGGCGACTGGGCCCAGCCCGGGGGGCTGATGCCTGGGACCCCTCTCGGGGCTGGTCGCTTGCACTCCAAAGACCTGGGTGGGGGCGGTACCCAGCGGAGCGATTCTCTCTTCTTATTAGCAAACCCCAGAAACAAAGGAGGAGGCTCTTCTGGGGAGAGAACGGCAAGAAAGGCTGAAAACGTCCCTTCCAGCACAGCTGAAAAATAATAGCGTAATATGAACTGCTTCTCATAAAGATACACTTTCACAGAGGTACAGTTACAAGAAGAAAACCCTCATTTCATCCCCGTCCTTTGCGCTCATCGCCGTTAGCGGCCTCAGTAATTTAATTGGAATGGAACGTGAGAAATGTGTCATTTTTGAAGAATTTATGCATCGCTTCCTAGAAATCTCATTGTGTTAACTAGGAGCCTACTGCGTTCGGTTTAGAACCCATAATCACATTTTTATGTGTCTGTATTACGAGTTAATGTGACCTCCTGTCTTTAGCAGATAAAAAAAAAAAAAAAAGAAAAAAAAAAAAACTGTTCTCTCCCCATAACATCTGCATCACACTCCGGCTTCCACACAATACACCGACCCCTGTTTTTCCAGGGCTCCCCAAACTTACCAACTTTCTCTAGAGCAGGGAAAAGAAATGTGCCCACCAAATGAATAATTGCACACCAAATTAAGACCCTGCATTAGACACAGTCGACAGCAAATACTGCATTCTCAATCATGTTTATTGCTTACAAATTGCATGACAAAGAAACCTACTCTTTTTATTGGAGTGATTAAGCTGAGTGTTAGGACTGCAGAAATGCCATTCCGGAAGATTAGATGAAGGCTGGAAACCCGGCTAGTTACATTGCAATGGTAAATGTATAATTTTGTTAAAGAACACGTTTAACACACCAACGAGGAGTGGGTTGTCATTATGGCATCCTAAAAGAGTCAACTGAAAATTATATTTATTTATAAACATAATACCTATAAAATGCGCATAGGTAATCCAAGAGAAGCAGGCAGTTCCATAATCCATGTTTTAATGACTGGGTTTTTTATTATGGCAGCATAATTCTATATGATACTTTACGAATCGATAGTTTTCCCCTACTCTCCTCCCCTTTACGGTGCGAGCTAAAATCTCTTCTCTCGGTTCTGGGGAGAGCAGGTTGGTGGGCCGGGGTAAGACCGTTTGCTTATGGCGCCACCTGCAGGACTCTATGAAAATGAATTTCAGTACTTCCGCAATCTTGCAGGGGCCCTGGGCCCTTAGCTCAGGCTTATTTTAGAAATTTGATGAAATTACTAAATGTTTTAACATAGAAATATGTTAACAATTTTAAGACAAATCCTGGAGTTTGAAAAGTGTTTTGATGTTTCCAAACTATACTTAAGTCCCAGAAATAAGATGCAGTGTTGATCATAGTTGAAACTTGGGGACTTCTAAATATCCCAGCTGCACATAGAAAATTTGAGTAGGGAATAATTTATCCTTGAAATAATGGAATAAAAGAAGCNCTGCACATAGAAAATTTGAGTAGGGAATAATTTATCCTTGAAATAATGGAATAAAAGAAGCAATATTCCTGGTTTATCACTTGGTCTTTGGGCAGCCCTGAAGAGATGAGATGCACTTGGCTCACTAATAGCCTCTGAAATTGTCGTGATTGAGTTTTTTCAGGGGCCCGGTGTAGACAGGAGGGGGCTGGGTCACTGGAGCAGACCCAGTTCATTCTCAAGCCTGTATTTTATACCATTTCTGTAGAGGGTTAAGTGTTCTTTGCAAAAGTTCACAGCCTGCCCCATCAACGTGTGTCTACGGGGTTATTTCAGAGATTGGAAATTTGACAATTATGTACACTTCCTGGGATTAGCAAATGCTCCTTAGAGTCAGTGGCTTTGATTCTCTTCAAAATATACTGAATTTATAATTATCTTAAAATTGACACAAATACACTAAAAAGGCCCAATGCTGTGTTCAGAATGTTAAACAACAGGTCACACAGTGCCCAGTCCGTGTGCTAATTGCCGTGGGCTGTGGATTCCGCCTGGCGGGCCAGCGGTGGACATTTCATCCTGTCCTGGGGATGGTCGGTGTGGATAGAAGCCAACTCCTATTTCTGAATTCTCTGTGGTCAGATGACAAGTAATAATCAAATATATTTGATTAAAGTTGGAGGAAAAATATTCCCTTTTTTTTTTTAGGTACAAACAGCAGGTCAAAGCACCATTTATTTAGCATTTGTTACCTTCTGAATTTTGAGCCACATAAATGCATCATTAAAAACTAAACTAAAAAAAACCAAATTAGGCCTTATGGAATTGGGTTTATGTAATATACTCTATGAGAAAAATAATGATGTTCAATGTGAACTGTATAAGAAAGGAAAACATTTTTAGACCCTTTATTTATTTTTGCAGCTGGTGGGTACGGGGTCTGAAGCCGTGACCTTGGCGTTGTAAGGCTGTGCTCCAACCAGCTGAGCTCACCGGCCAGCCGGACCCTATGTAGTAGAAAAAATAACAAGGCATGTTTTGTTCACTGGAAAAGAAGCCGGGATTGTTCTAGTCTCAAAGTAGGATGCCTTTTGAGATGTTTATCTCAGCCGACTTCCCTTCTTCCCTCCCTCTCTCCCTCCCTGCTTTTCTTTCTTTCCTTTCTTCTCTTAGTCCTGTCATTACTCCGCTCCTCATCCTCCTCTTCTCCTCTCTTCTTCTGTATGTGGAATTATGCAAGTCCCTTGGTTTTAGAACTTCCTAACACTTGTAGCACAGAGCACAGCTAGACAAAGTCATCAAAACAACATTTTTTTGTCAGTTATTTTAAGTTTTGCTTTAACAAAGTAAATTGCTAGCAGCGATTAAATTCTACAAAACTACGAATGGATGCCATCTCATTGGATAATTAAGAGAGCCCCAAACCACCACACTGGCCGTGTTTGTCCCATACCGTCGCAGCCATGATTCAGCAACAGTATTTAGCACATCGTGACAGCCACTGGACCCCAGGTGACTCGGAACCAATTCCTAGTGCTGATTTGCTACTGATTCTCTTGCACTTGTGTGTCATGTTCCCGAAGAGCTGGGGGCTGGTAGAGGACTCCTGACATCTCAGGAGGTCCAGTTTGTCGCTGCGTTACTATCACCTGGGTCCGTGTTGAGCACAAGTGCGAGGTAGTGCTGATTTGCTACTGATTCTCTTGCACTTGTGTGTCATGTTCCCGAAGAGCTGGGGGCAGGTAGAGGACTCCTGACATCTCAGGAGGTCCAGTTTGTCGCTGCGTTACTATCACCTGGGTCCGTGTTGAGCACACGTGCGAGCCTGGAGGGGTCGGACACCACGTTTCACATAGTGTTGACTGGGCGGGGTGGGGTGCAGGGAGCGCTCATCATAGAAGTCACATGAGGACAGCGATGGCCAGGGAAGCCTCGCGTGCACGTACTGCCACTGGCCCCCACTCAACAGTGACGTAGCCAGAGAGAACGTGGCAAGGATGAGAGCCCTCACTCTGCAAACCTCCCTGTTGTGCCCACGCCTCTCCAGCAGCCTGTGACGAGCTGTCCTTCCCTTGGCTGTGAGCTCCATAAGCAGGAGGGCAGCCATCAGGTCTGTCCTGTTGATGTTGGGTCCTCAGGTCCCAGCGCCAGGCTCCACCCCCAGCTGACTTTCAAGAAAGTTTAAATAAATGAATGAATGTGGAAACAAACGAACACACAAAACTGAAACCAGAAAACAGCAGTGTTGGTGAAGATGTGGAGAAACTGGAACCTTTGTGCATTACTGGGAAATGTAAAATGGTATTGCCACCATGCAAAACAGTATGGAGGTTCCTCAGCAAACTAAAACTAGGACGACCGTATGATCCAGCAGTCCCACTTCTGGGTACACACCCAAAGGAATTGAAAATAGGGATTCAAAGAGGTGTGTGCACACCATGTTCATTGCAGCAGTCTTCACAACAGCCGAGGGGTGGGAGCCATCCAGGTGTCCACTGACAGATGCATGGATAAGCAAGCGTGGTATATATGTACAGTGGAATAGCATTCAGCCTTAAAAAGGAGGAAGTTCTGTCACATGCTACAGTGTGGGTCAATGTGAGGACCCTGTGCTAAATGAAATAAGCTAGTCACAAAAGGACAAATACTGTACGAGGTATCTCAGTTTTAGGGGGTTTTTTTTGCGCCTGGCTGGTACAGAGATCTGAACCTTGGGATTATAAAGCTGACTCTAACTGAGCTCACCGGCCAGCCCGAGGTATTTCAGATTTTCAAGATGAAAAAGTGCTAGAGAACTGTTACACAGCAATGCAAATGTGGTCAGTAATACTGAACTGCACACTTAAAAATAGCTAAGATGGTAAATTTTATAGTATGTGGGTTTTTTTTTTTAACCACAATTAAAAATAAAAAAAACCCGAATGAACAAATGAGTGGATGGTTTATCCACAGATTGGCTTCACAGATTGGCTCCTCCCATGAGTGTCTGATTTTAAAAAAATAATAATTGGGGGTGAAAATAATGGGGAAAAAAAAGAATTCCTCCACAATGACAGAATTTTAGGTAGCTATGGGGAGACATTTGGGGCTTACCATGAGAATCATGTTGCTATTTATAAGCTATAATTTGGGTTTGGAAACCTAATAATTTATTATTCATTAGATTTTTAAAAGCATAAAGTCAATATGTTTTAAAAGAACTTTGATGTCTTCCAAGACTCTTCAAAACATTTAAAATTTAATGCATTTTAGAATTCCAACCGAACTGTTTCCTAGGTGGGATGGGGTGGACAGGGTGGCTGCAGGGCGTGAGTGCAGGAGAGAAACAGGTGCTCTCGGATTGTAGTTTTCACGATTCAGCGAGGGCTGGGCTCCTTGATGGCGATTGTGCTGTGTTTTTTTTTTTTTTTAAACCATTCTTACCCTTCTAATTTGATCGCATAAATAACATTATGATTCTTTCCCACTTCTTACAGTCTCTATTCCCATCTTAGGCTGTTTTCCTCTCTAGTAGTAAAACGACCCTAATAATAGAGGGAACCACTTGTGGACGGTCTTCTCTGTGCTGGTCTGGGTTGGGGCTTTGCAGTCTCTCCACTCAGTGGGGCCGGCAGACCAGGAGCAGGGGTGTCACCTGAGGTCATTAGAAATGTCCACATGTGCAGACCCACAGAATCCAAGTTCCACTCCAGACCCCCGAGTCCAAATCCGCATTTCAACAAGATCCTTTTTAGAGTTGGAGAAGACCTGCCTTACATCAGACATCCCAGGTCTGCAAATTGAGCCAACTTCAGTTAAGTTACTGTCCTTGTCACTCAGTGGAGGAGCTGGGCTCTGAGCCCATCTCTAGGGTGTTATCATGGGTGGCCACCCACCTTCCAGTGTGTTGCATTCCTTTCCAGCACAAAGCAATCTTCCTAGAGTCCCATCAAGATCACACCTGCTCACCTGCTCGATGGCTCCTCACAGCCTGTCCAAGGAAGTTCAGAACTCTTGGTCTGGATGCCAAGGCCCTCCTGATCTGTCCCCCTCCCTCTCCAGCCCTGCCTCCTTCCAGCTCCCAAGGTGTGGGGACCCTCCTCTCCAGGAGGATGAATCACTGTCCCTCTGCTGTGCCCCACACTTCCCTGCACCCCTGGCTTTGTTCAAGTTTTCCTGTAGTGACTTCTGAAAGCCTGTGTAGGAGGGGCTTGGGGAGAGTCATCTGCCTGGGATGAGGGGGTCTGAGGGGTCTTGAAGCTGTGTTTGTATAGCCCTTTTGTAGGACGTGTCAATTGTCCATCTCAAAGGGTGGGATATGGGTGGGTCAGCTGAAGGAGCTGGGGGATGCTGTGTTATCACTTCCCTGGCAGATCTGCTGTGCTGAAACCTGACCGCCCACCAAGGCTCTGCCTGGCTACCTCCTTCATGGCACCCACCCTCACTGGCTGGGCCCAGCATGGCCCCCTTTTCACTTCCACAGTGGGCCTCACTCATAGTGCACACAACATCCTGGGTTATTTGCTGGAATCTGAACTCCTTTTCCAGTTGGCAACAATGGGGGAGGGTGCCCTGCCCTCTGTGAGGTTCATCCCAGCTGCGCCTTGCCCTGGCTCCAACTGGAAAAATGGGACAACTGCTTATCCTTGGAGGATGACCGTGAAGAGTCCTTGCTCTAAAATATAGTTCATTAGTAGAAAATTTGAGGCCTAGCAGGGGCGACAGATGAGGAGACGATTGCCACTGAAAAGACAGTTTATTACTCACCATTCCGAAGAGGAAAGGGCACACCACTGGGGGGTGGGAGGACCACATGGGAAGCACCAGGATCAGTCAGTAGGTGGGGGTAGAAATGAGGGAGGCAGGTAGGCTGGCTTAGAGTTGGCTAGTTTAAATAATTTCAGCAGGCTCTGTCGCACAGGGGCTGTTCCTAGTAGTCGGGCACCTGGCTCTGGGGTGGACTACGGTCTGGAGTGTGAGCATTGATAGTGGAGGTGGTTGGGTGTGGGCTCTGGGTGGGCTGGTTTGTATTTGAAAGCACAAGCTCCAAAACCTTGTTTACTATCTCCATGAGCTGGCTAACTCTGGGAAGGGCAGCCTCTCCAGGGTCAGCAAGGCCCCAGACATCAAAGCATCAGAATGCAGAAAATAAAAGACAAGGTTATATAGTCCTTGATGTTTAGAACCTCTCTCTTGCCATGTGATGCTCAGGCTGAGCTGAAGGCAACTTCTATCAACCTCAGTCTATTGGCATCTGGCTTCCTGGGCTGGAGGAGTTGGGGTTTGGTGAGGGTGTCAGAAGACTCACCCAGGATCCCAATGTCCACTCTCCACCCCTCCAATGTCCTCCTGAGGAGCTCTGGACTGTGATGTGCTTGGAAGCACCAACGGGCCCTGGGAAGGTGCGCTTGTTGTGGAAGCAGGTGTCCTCTCTCAACACGTGGGTCCATCCTGTTCTGGGGCAGAGAGCCTCCCCCCAGCTGGCCGGGCTCCAGGAGGGGTCGGAAGCCGAAGGTCTGGAGGCTGGGGGCAGCACATTGGCTGCTAACACACTGGGGGCAAACCTTGGAACAATATGGGTACCTTTTACTCTAACTTTCATTGAAAGGTGCTTTCTGATACCCAACACTATGAAGTCACAATTTTACTTGATCCTCACAAGCAACCCTGAGAGGCAGAAAGGGCTTTTATGACCAAGCCCATTTTGAGGCAAACCTGAAGCTTGGTGCCACACCGGAGTGCGAGGGGGACGAAGAGTTGCCATCCAGGTCCGCCCCTCCTCATCCAGGGTGAGCTCCTTGACACGCAGCCTCCACGGACGGGCACAGACGAGAAAAAAAGTCTTTCTCTCAGTGTTCTGGTTTTCAGTGCAAAACACCCTCTGGCTCCAAAAGTAGGTAATTTTGCAGAGACTTCGGCAAGGGTAACAGCGGTATGAGGTAAAAGCACTTTTTGCCAAATGATTTGCGAATGGCACAGCGGCAGAGATGCTGCAGGCAGCGTGGGGTGTGGGCCAGGGCCAGGAGAGACTGGTAGAATGGCTCGTGCATCTGGAAAGGAAGGCGGGTGGCCGTAAATCTGTGCACACGGAACCAGCAGACACTTCCTTCCTAGTCAGACCACTGATTGAACAATCAAGCCTTTCTATGACTAACTGATACCACGTAACCACATCAGAGAGAGAAGCACTATTTTGCAGGAACCATCCCCTGTATAGTTTCCTCAAGTGCAGTTCCTGCCGAGTCAGAGGGAGCTCCATTTTGGGTGGCTTGAGATGATACAGGTGGTCTCCTTGCATTCTGTTCTGCCCCCTGCCCCCGCACAGCAGCCCTGCAGCTCCAGGGGTGGCCCTCTCAATCTAATCAGCCGTGACAAGCCCTTCCCCTTTGCCAGTGATGGGCTCAGAAGCCAGGCCTAAGCCAGTGAGCACACGGTATTGCTCTGATGCTCAGTAACGTGTGCATGACTCAAGTCAATGAAACAGGAGGGGAAATTTTGTAGAGGCTTCTGGAAAAAAAAAAAGTTCTTGCTCTTTTTTCATCCACAGTCACCTGTGGACTTTGTCCTGTACAGATGTGATGCCTGCAGCGGTCTTGGTCATATCTTGAGCTATCAGAAGATGAGGCTGACACACAGGGCCAGATTAGTGTACCCTAGATGGAGCCAGAACCTGTGGATTCAGGTGGCCCCGATGCACACCTTTCTCTGGACACTGGTTAGGGGAGCCCCCAAATTCTCAAGCCAGCATGGGCCAGCTTTCTTCTCCTTGCAGCCCACAGCACCCCAACTACAATAACGGGCCCTTGGCTGTGTGATTCTTGAGCCTCAGAAGAAACACAGAAATGTGCAAACACACCCCGGTCTCCTTCCCCCTTCGTCCTTCAGCTGCTTATACTCACCTGGACACAAGCAGAAATGGACAAACGGTTTGTACTAAAGCGGGGGAAGGCAGCCGCCTCACCTGGAATATTTCTTCAGGTATCAGCTCCCTCCAGGACTCTGACACGTGGAGCTGAGAGTAGGAGTTGAAAAGGACCTCGATGACCGTGGGGGCAGGTGCACAGGTCCTCAGCACCTGGTTGGGAGAGGTGAAAGATACAGTGTAGGGGACTGGGCTTGGGACCAAGTGGGGAAAGCGTGGGGAGATGTGGAGGTACGTCTGGAGCTCACTTCTGCCACTTCCTAGCCCTGTGACTTCACTATGCCACGTCACACAGGTAAGAGCAGCAGTGACAGCACACGGTGTTGTTGCAGGAATCAGGTGAGTGAACACTCAAGGAAGCACACGGCAGTGGCTCTGCAAGGGCAAGCTTGTCACCACGTGATGGCGCCTGTGAGGAGTCTGGGCAAACTGCCCCCGGGGCGTGGGCTGATGGCCTGGCAGGTGCCCCAGGGGCCACTCACAGCAGAGGAGTGAAGTTCTGCTGGGAGGAAGGTTGGCCTGAGGATGGTGACCCCAATTTCTTACCCCAATTTTCCAATATGTCAGGAAATGAAGAACTAGGGGAGAAGAGTTGGTTTGCTGTTGAATTTCCTCTTGACTTGGCCTTTGTATTTTATTATTACAGTCCCCGCTGGCAAAGAATTCCTATTTTCTTACTTACAAGCTTATAATTCAAGCCATCAGATTCATCATGAGGATGGGAACACTATTCGCTCTTAAAAATTGCACTTTTTTATTATGGAGAAATTTGAATGCATACCAAAGTGGACTGAATAGCACGATAAACCCCTACGTAGGCGTCATCAACCCACGGTCGATCCTCCTCATCCCCTCCCCTTAAAACTGTTTTAAAGCAAATCCCATGTATCCCATCATTTCATGTGTAAATATTTCAATGGGTCTCTTAAAGGACCCTTTAGAAGAAACATAAAAACAATATCATTATAACACCTGAGGAATTAACAATAGTTTCTTAATATCATGTAATATATAGTCAGTGTTTAAATTCACAAATTTCTCTTAAATGCCATTACATTAACAAAAGAATGTTAATTTGAATAAGAATCCAGAGAAGAGCAAAATGGTGAGATTGGTGGATATGCCGTATTTTCAAATCTCTCTTTCTGGTTTCATGGGATTTGTCGTAGAAACTGGATTATTTCTCCTGTAGAGTTTCTTGCTGCTGGGACTTTGCTGATTATGACCCCGTGGGGTTTGTGAACATGCTGCTCTTCTCTCTTTTCTGCAAAGATGGATTTAGAAATGTGACCAAATTCAGATTCGATTCTGGAGAAGGGCAGGGCAGGTGCACAGCTCTCTTCCTGAGGTATAAGGTTTGCCAAGGGCTGTAAAATTGTTCTTCCTGTGTCTTGCTTGAGAAGGTTGAGGTGATGCAATTTTTCTAAGACCAGCCACCACATATCTGTGGCACACAAGGACCAGAGCCAGTGCTGAGCCTGGCCTGCAGTATGCTTGCAGGGCTCTGAGCAGAGTCAGGTGGGAGAAAGTATCTAGACCCTCACTACAGAGCTCCCTTTACAACTCTTCTAGCTTCGTCACAGCTCCACATCTAAAACGCCGTTACAACAGAGAAAGGCAAAACAAAAAAAAATTTCCTGTATTCCTTTGCTCAGAGATAACCACTATCAACATTTTGTGTGTGCTAATGTTCTATGCATTTAGACAAAAAGTTGACATATATATATCACAAAAACGAGTAAATGCTCTTCATATTATTTTGAAACTTGATTTTTTCCAATCAAAATAGACCGTAAACAATTAAAAAATTATAAATGAGCATTTCAAGATCATTTTAGTCTCCATATATTTTATTTTGTGAAAATATCATAATGTATTCAATGAAGTAACTATTGTAAGTTGTCTCAATATATTTTGATATGATCACAATGAACATCCTTGAACATAATTCTATCCTCTTCTGCCCCCAACCATTCTTATTTAAATACTTACATTGAATTCCTGGCAATAGAATTACAGGGTCAAAGGGTGTGTACATTTTAAAGCTTTTAAAACATACTGCCTAATTGTAAGTGCATATACTGGTACACTTGTTGAAGAATTGGATATGACAGTACCTCTTCCCCTACCCAGAGCGTCTCATTGATTATTTAAATTTGATAGGTACAACATAGAATATTTACTTTTGTTTTGGTTGACTGTTGGTCTTTCTTCCTTTGTGAATTGCTAAATTATGTCTTTTGCTCATTTTTCTATTGATGTGTTCATTTTTTCACTGATTTCTAAGTACACTTTATTTATTAAGGTTATTTTTCAGGTAGACAATCATTTTGCAAATAATGGTTTTTTTTTTCCTTCTCAATATTAATAGTTCTTATTATATTGGGTAGAGCTTTGAAGTTTTTTTTTTTTTTTTTTTTTTGTCCTTTTTCGTGACCAGTAAGGGGATTGCAACCCTTGGCTTGGGGTCGCCCGCACTGCGCTCAGCCAGTGAGCACACCGGCCATCCCTATATAGGATCCAAACCCGCGGTGGGAGCACCGCTGCGCTCCCAGTGCCGCACTCTCCCGAGTGCGCCGACCAGCTCCGCACTCTCCCAAGTGCGCCACGGGGCTGGCCCGAGCTTTGACGTTTGATGCTAAATAACAACATTGATAGCAGGCATAATCATTTTATTCCTAATTTTAATAGGATTGTCTTTAATGTTTCACTATAAACATGATTTTGGATATCAGTTTCAGATACGCTGTTCTAAGTTAAAAAATATCTTTCTATTCCTAGGTTACTACAAAACTTAGGATTTAGTTCTATGTTTTGCCTTTTTCAAAGTAAACAGAAAAATATTTTCCAGTATTACCCATTTTTGTCTTCATAAAACAGACACTATTTGGCTATTCTATATATAATATATATTATTTCTCTCTATATATTTAAGAAATATATTATGTAATAATATATTCTATATATAATATAGNCACCGGCCATCCCTATATAGGATCCAAACCCGCGGTGGGAGCACCGCTGCGCTCCCAGTGCCGCACTCTCCCGAGTGCGCCGACCAGCTCCGCACTCTCCCAAGTGCGCCACGGGGCTGGCCCGAGCTTTGACGTTTGATGCTAAATAACAACATTGATAGCAGGCATAATCATTTTATTCCTAATTTTAATAGGATTGTCTTTAATGTTTCACTATAAACATGATTTTGGATATCAGTTTCAGATACGCTGTTCTAAGTTAAAAAATATCTTTCTATTCCTAGGTTACTACAAAACTTAGGATTTAGTTCTATGTTTTGCCTTCGCTGTTCTAAGTTAAAAAATATCTTTCTATTCCTAGGTTACTACAAAACTTAGGATTTAGTTCTATGTTTTGCCTTTTTCAAAGTAAACAGAAAAATATTTTCCAGTATTACCCATTTTTGTCTTCATAAAACAGACCCTATTTGGCTATTCTATATATAATATATATTATTTCTCTCTATATATTTAAGAAATATATTATGTAATAATATATTCTATATATAATTCTATATAGAATTATCATTATATATTATAGGTATATTATACATACTGTATATTATTATTATATACGAATATAATATAAAATCAGATTCAATTTGCTAAGATTTTCGAATCTCTTAATAACTAAATTTGGTTTATTGTTTAATTTTTTTGAGCTATTTTTGTCAGGTTTTAATATCACTTTATGTTGACTTAGTAAAACTGAGAAAATGTCTATCTTTTTAATACTCAGGAAGATTTTAAAACGTGATAATTATTGGAATTCAGAAGGCACGACAGATCTTGCATTTGACATTGTCTACGCCTGGCATTTAGTTGCAGGTAACAATTTGATGTTTTCAATTTCATTCAGGGTTATCGGCACATTTTGTTTTGGTTTCTTCTTGAATCAATTATGCCAATCTATATTTTCCTGGAAAACAATCTTCATTTTAGAGAAATTTGGTATTGCATGTGTATCCGTCAGGGTCCAATAGGAAATAGATGGCACGTTTGATAGAGGATTATTCCAGAAGCGTTTACTGATACAGGAATGATTTAACCAGGGGTGGGTGCAGGGGGCCAACAAGCAAGACTGCAGTGACGTGGAGCTGGTGGCAGAGCCATCACCGCTCTTGGTCCCGAAGGGTGAGTCAGGTGGGCTGTCTTATCAGAAGCAGCAAGCCTTGTTTGGGGACACACAGTGAGCCTGAAGCGGGGAGCCAGCCAAGAGAACAAATCCTCTGACCCCGCTCTCCTTTCCTCCCCCCTGCAGCAGGGGCACCCCGCTGGCTAAACCCACCTGGAAGGCAGCAGGCAGGAGCCCTGTAGAATGTAGTGCACGCAGGTGGAGAGTAAATCAGTCAGGGAGACATCCCCACTGTGTCTGTGAATGAGCACCCTTTTCTCATTTGAAATCCACTGTAATTGTATCTTCAATGTTTTTTCTTGTTTAGCCTTGCAGGAGGCTTATCTATTTAATCCCACCCCCCCCAAGGAATCGGCGATTGAATTTTATTGATCAGTTGTCTTTTAAAACGTTTGAATCCATTGATTTTTGTCTTTATCATTATTAATTCCTTTCTCCCAGTGGCTTAGGTATGTGCTGTTTCTTTTTCCAACTTTTTGGATTGTCGACTCAGTTAATTTAGTAGCATTTTTCCCCCTTCAATCATAATAAAAGCAACTTTTAACTTGCTGTGCATTTTCCTTTGAACATGCTCACAAGTATGGTCACAGCCTAAGTTTTGAGGCATCGTGTTCTCACCGTCTTTCTTGCTTAAATAGCCTGCAATTAGATAACTACTGATACAGTAATTTGGGAGTGTGCTATAAAATTTCCAAATGATTAAGTTGTTTTTAAAAATAAACAACTTTTTGCTTTTAATTCTCTGGTGTACTGCAATATGGCTGCAAACAGTGTCTACCTTTGGGTCACTAGAAGGAGTTATTTTCTGTTTGGTTCAAAGATCTATATATATGTGTCACATTTTTGATTGAGAGCTTCTGTATTTTTAGTTTTTTGCTCACTTAATCTGTGAAAGACTGAAATACAAATTAAAAATCACCTAGAATTATTTTTCAGTCTGTTTCTCCATTTTAACATAATCTTTTTTGGCACATAAGGTTCATAATATTTATCTCTTCACTGCG